AAGTCAAGTCTCTTAGATACATATATATGTATATATAAGATATATATTTTAATATATATTTTTAAATTGTATGTGTATGAGTGTATTCCTGTTGTGAAGTGCCCGGGGAGATCAGAAGAGGACATAGATCCCCTGGAACTGGACTTACAGATGGTTATCTGCCATGTGGGTGCTGGGAATCGAACCCAGGTCCTCTGCAAGAGCAGCTAATGCTCTTAACCGCTGAGCTCTCTCTCCAACCCCAAACACAGTCTTTATATATCCTTTGTCCTTTTATTCTGTGGTACGAATTAGTGATAATAGTGTAAAGGACCGATTAAAATCTTTGTGAGAGACACACACAACAAGGGAGCAAGAAGATACTTGAGCGGAGTCCTGCTGTTTGCCTGGTGGCACCAGAGATGGCACCGGGGAGAGGACAGATGGCAGTGATACAAAAACAGGAAGGCAGAGAGGGGCAATGTGCAGGAGAGTGTGAATATCATCCTGGATGGAGGAAATCACGACTTAGATGTCATACAGTCCCTTCATTGTTCAAATAGGAAAACTGAAGCTCTCAGAAGTTAGTGATTGCCTAAGATCATACCCAGTAATACCGAGGAGCCAGGCTCTGATTTTGGAAACTTTTGGCTTTTAGAGGGATATCGAGATAGACAAAGGAAGTAAAATCTGGTGTAGTGGGAAGAAGGGGTTTTGGAAGAGGAAATCAGGCTACAGGAAGGTATGGACAAATGCACTCAGGAAGGTGGAAGCTATGCCTTTTGAGATCTTTCTTTCATTGAATTACTCTTCCTTAATGCTGATCTACTGAAGTCTGCTGTTCTGTTATTAGGACATAATACTTCAATGCATTTTTTTGTATGTGTTATGAAGCACCAAAAGTCCTTGAATACACAGGCTAGTACAGTTCTAATGGCAGTGCAGAAACTCCAGGAACTGTGCACATAATACTGAATGTTCACTGTTTGTTTATTTATTGAATGACTGAATGAATGGATTTTTTAAAGACCTAAATGGCAGCATAACGGAAAATAATTCTAATCCACTCGAAATTCTTTAAGCACATTTGAACCTTGATCATGAATGAGCCTATGCAGATGATCTCTGAAGGGCAGCATCCAGCACAGTGTTTGGAATAGATTGTGTCCAGTCTGTGGTTGTCAAATGAATAAATCACATTAGTCAAATTTAATCACAGTAGTACTACTACTGGTTTCAAGGAAAATCGGTGCCTTAGACATTCCTCTACCTATGTAGCACTGTTAGCCTTTTAATTTTATTATTTTTACTTTTTTGTGATCTTTTTGAGATAGGGTCTCCCTGTAGCCACAGCTGGTCTGGATTCACTATGGAGACCATGCTGGCCTTGAACTCACAGAGATCTGCCTGCTCCTGCCTCCCCAGTGCATTACCATGCCTGGCGACTTTATTATTTTTTATTTTATGTGTATGAGTGAATTTTCTGCATCTATGTAAGTGCACCTGTGTCATGCAGCTCCTGTGGAGGTCGAAAGAGGGCATCGTAGTCCCCTGGAACTGGAGTTGCAGATGGTTGTTAGCCACTATGTGGGTGCTGGGAATCAAACCTGGGTCCTCTGCAAGAACAGCTGTTGCTCTTAACTGCTGAGCCATCTCTCCAGCCCTGCCTATGTGCCTTTTAAACATTGATTGGATGGATGGATGAATAAATAACCAAAGTGAGTTTCCTAGGAGTCTGCCACAAATTTGGTAGTACTAATGTAGTGCCATATTTAATCTGGCAGCCTTCCATGACTTAGGATAAACCACAAATATCTTACGGTTTAACTTACAAGACTCGGCATCTTTTGGAGCTCTCTTACTACTTCACTATACAACAGGTACCCTAGCCTTTTTCAGTTCTTTCATCCTTTCATACCCAGGAACATGGCGCATGCTCTTCCCCTCTGCCTGAAATATACCCTGTACCTACTTAAACTAATGAGCTTCCATCATTCCTTCTAGACTCAGATGAAATGTCTCAGAGCCAATTTTTGGCTTCCAATCTAAATCAAAGTCCTGGCTAATCTCCTTTGTAATGTCTTTTTGCTTTTCTTTTTTTTTTTTGGCGGCGGGGGGTCTCACTAGGTAGCCCTGGCTGTCTTGGAACTCACTATATAGTCCAGGTTGGCCTTGATCTCACAGAGATCCACCTGCCTCTGCCTCACTGCTGGTATTAAAGGCATGCACCGCAATACCTGGGGTGGAATGCCCTTTTTCTTCAAAGCATTTGTAGCCATGTACTGTTTGCCTCCTCCACTAGACTGGAAACTCCTTGAGGGAATGTTGTGTTTCACTTCGGTAAATCCAGTGTCTAATAAAGTGCTTAACATGTGGTCTTTAACCAGTATTCACTAATCTGAATCAATGACAGATACTTTTGGCATCATGTATTAGCTACAGATTGTCTGAGGAAAGGAACCTAGCTTGTACTTGCTACCTCCTGGTACTCTGAACCCTTTTAAAGGGTTCCTGGAAGTTGGTGGGCACAGTGCTTTAGGAATATGTTCTGACAGAGCCCTACGTTTCTTCCCCATAGCCTGCATCATCCTCCCTTTGGCCTAGACAGCTACAGAAGCCAGTACACAAAGACCATGTAGCTGGATGGAGATGCCAGTTCCATTTCTGACTCCTGTGGGGGCCTCTTCCCAGGCTTGGCTTCCATGACAACCTGTTCACAGGGTCCCTTCTCTTATACACATCACCTTGGTTCTCACCCAGTGTACTAGCCTCCCTGGCCTGTGTCCATGCCTCCTCTTCCTGTTACCCTTTTCACCCAGACAGATGGGAAATCTTCATCAAAGACTATCGCTGCCTTCCAGGCTCAGAGGATCACAGCAGGGCCTGGAAGAAGCTCTGCTTAACACAGAGAACTTGGTAAAGGATTGATGGGGTTCAGAGCTTCCCCTCCCCTAACACTACCGAAAATAGGAATGACCATCTGGATCCATTTATGGGGCTGGCTGGGGGAGGGGAGGATGGCAGAGTGGGAACTGTCAAACTGGCAAAGCTTTGAGGGTAAGATGCTGCTTGTTAGAAAGGTGAGCTTAGGGTACTTCCTCCTTTGGTGAGAGTCAGGGCACTTCCTCAATTGACCCCATGCAGCTCACAAACCACCTCTCTGAGGGCATCTCGCTCATTCAGGGCTCTCCTTGTTTTGATCCCACATTTCCTTTTCAGATTCCTATCTCCTGACTTCGGTGGAGCCAGCCTCATAGACTTCCTAGCACATGTCTTTGCTTACAGTTTCTTAATCAGGGATGCCCCTTCCCTCCTCTTCTGTACCATGTTCAAGGTTCCCGGCAAATGCTGCTTTGGTGCTCCCAGAGCAAGAAAGCTGTGCTTCCACTTATTGAATATTCATGAGTCCTTGCATTAGCATTAGATGTTTATATGGCTGTCTCCCCTAAGAGACTGTAAACTCCTTGAGAAAGGAACTGACTGGATCTACTGGTCCCTATAGTCAGCAGGGTGCCTGGCAGAGAAGAGGTGCTCAGTGAATGCGTAGGAGCTAGGTGTTGACTATATATGGTCTCCTTTCTGGGGAAGAAGCATCTCAATCAGTAAACCTACAGTGGTGAATCCGGGCTGAGCCAGGGGCTGGTATGGCTGCCAGTTGGAGAAACTCCTGAGTGGGATGTGGGGTGTGGCAAAGGGGACAGCGTCTTTGATTTTGGGAATTTTGCAGTCTTTCTGCTCAGCTCTGTCATTGTACTTTGCCTACTGGAGAATGGCTCTCTTCTTTCTTCCTTTCTCTCTCTTTCTTCCCCTACCCCCTTTCTCCTTTTTTCTCCTGCCCCTCCCATTATGGCTTCAAAACTTTGCACAATCAAGAGTGGGACTGAAGGGGCCAATCTAATGCATAAAATAGTTTGACAACTGAGTCTCTGACTTTTTGACATCACAAAATGGCTTCCTATTTCCTTCCATTTTATGGATGGGCAAACTTACCCAAGCTTATAGACAGCTGGGACCAGAATCCAAGTCTCCTACTTTGGAGTGGGTAGTAAAGCATGAAGTAAAACATGTGGACTCATGTGTGGCATTGTAGGAAAGTAGCCAAACTTGTCAGGGCATCAGTTTCCTCATCCCTAAAGGAGGAAACAGCTGGTGATGCAGCTCAGTTGGTACAGTGCTTGCCCAGTATACACAAGAAAGACCCAGGGTTCAGATCCCCAAAACACTACATAAAACTGGTCATAATCCCAGCACTTGGTGGAGGAGGGAGGATCAGGAGTCCAAAGTTATCTTTGACTACAAGAAGGCCCTGTCTTAAAAAGAAAAAGAAGTGGCCAGGACAGCTGG